CCTGAAATGTATGTGTCTCGCTGCCTTATATGGTCATGGTTTGATTATGAAAGCATGGATAGAGCAGCAGGGATGGATTCAGATGTGTGACCTAGAAATAAACATATTCCTTATCCCATCACAAGCCCCCAGAGCAAAACTCATGCCTCAGGCTATCTGCTGAAAAGCTCTCTTGACAATTCTAAGGCGGGCTTTGGGGGGGAAGCAATATGTAGTTCATAAATAGCTGAAGCCTACATGGCTTCTTCTCCCCTCCCACTTACCCTACCCCTACCCCACCCCCCAAAAAACATCTGGGGTATTTTTCTTTGTTTTGCCTTCATCTCCAGAGAAGCGGATGTGTTGGGGGTGGGAAGGAGGAGGGAGTAGAATATGAACTGCTACCTCATCTGATGAGAGCAGACTTGATACCCTTTTGATGGGAGGAGGTTTTTTAATTTTTTTTTTACTTTTATATTTTATTTTCAATTTATGCAATAAAACAAGCATTTCCATAACATAGTACAATAAAAATGATTACACATGAAATTGTAAATCTATTTTGCACAACTTGCTATACCTATCAAATATATAACAAAATTATCATATAAATTTCTTTTATTTTTTTCTCCCCCCACCATGACTACCATTAAACACAACTAGGTGTATATATATATATATATATATATATACACACACACACACACACACACACACACACACACACACACACACATATATGTATGTATGTGTATATATGTATATATGTGTGTATATATGTATATATGTATATGTATATGTATGTATATACATAAAAGTAAAATTATTCTATACATTCTTCTATTTATCAGTTCTTTCTCTGGATGCTGATAGCATCTTTCTTCCTATGTCCTTTACAGTTAATTTGAGTATTTTGTTAGATACTTTTTAATTACATATACATTTTTAACAATCATTTTTTAAAATTTTGAATTGCAATTGTTTCACTCCCTTCTCCCTCCATTCTCCTTGAGAAGATAAGAAACTTAATTTTGATTTTACATATGATGTCATACAAAGCATATTTCCATTTTGGTCATGTTGAAAAAGAAAACACAAAATAAATTAATAAAAAGAAAGAAAGTTTAAAAAGTATGCTTCAGTCTAGCAGGAGGTTTTTTGGAGAATAGCACCCCTCTTTTGTTGCTCACCAGCAATATGACAAACAGCATCATCATTGTGAGGCAGGAAGTGAGTGAGTGGCCAAACAGGAGTTCTTGGAGTGGTGGTTAGTGACAGAGAAGACATACCACACTGAGTAAGCAAAAACTTTCCATTTCTGTTTTCCCAATCCATGGGGTGGGTGTGCTTCTTTCCATTTTGTTTTTGGGACCCAGTGGCATTATCTTCTGACACACTTGGGCTGCCAGTGGTTTTTTTGAGTCCTGCCTGATAGCAATTTTTTGCCCCCCTCGAGATCACCACCGCCACGTGGCATTGCCAGTGGGAGGCTATTTTAGCCCACAGAGCTAGCCTACATAGTAGACTTATAATAAATACTAGCTTATTTCCCTTACCCCCTGCCACTGTCACATGGGCCCTAGATCTATCCCATGCAACAAAGAAAAAATGGTTAAGCAAGACAAAGAAAGTGATTGCATCTGACAATGTATGCAGTTATCCATAACTGCGATTCACCACTTGCCTCCCGAGAAGAAAGACTTGTGTATCCTCTGAAACCAAGATTAGTCATTGCATTCCATCTGAATTCTGATGTTTTAGCTTAGTTTTCATTTGCATTGTTGAGGTTGCTGGGCATGTCCACTGTTTTCCCAGAGCACCCCAAACCTCCCTTAAATGCACTTGAACAAGTACAGTACCTGAAACCTAAACGTAGTTTGCGTGTCTGTTCTTTAAGCTTAGTTATATGTGTTTGTGTTATATTCCCCACTAAAGAGTCTGTGTTGTTTTCCATTTTGACCTTTGTATATTTCCCCAGTGTTTAGTGTAGGGACCACCATGCTCCACATATTTCAGAAATGCTTGTTTGATTGAAATATAAATAAGGGATAATTTTTGAATTCTCATTTAAACATTTCAATGTTAGGACAAAGATGAAGATGCTTAGTTTAGAACACGGAACACAACTGACCAGTTCAGTTTTACTCTCCTCATTGAGTGACATATGAGAAGGAAATTTTATTGGAAAACCATCTTTATTTTTGCTCATCAAAAGCAGTGACACGGGAAATTAAGTGGTTTTATATGGAAACTGGATGATGGGAAGAAGGTAGTGTCTTTAATCATTAAGTTGACCAGTCCTCTTGTCTATGGTTTCTTATTCATCTCTGCATCCTATGAATCCTTGACATTCCCCCTGAAGGGTTTGCCAATCATCTTGATCCTAATATGGCATGATGTCCCCTCAATGTAGGAGGCAACCCACTCTCAGCCTGGCTTCCCTATTCCCTTCTCAGCATCAAAGTCTGACAGCTGGGCTCAGGTCAGCTGGATTTCCATGGGGGAGTTTGGAGACACCTCACTAGGGACTGAGTTCCGCCTACTAATTGCCCCACTTCTAAGAGCTCATTGAGGCTCTAGTAGAGATTCCAAGGTAGCTAATTCAGTCATTTGACCAGGCCTAAAACGAACTTTGGCTGCATGTGGAAACAAAGTGAAAACTGAAAGGAACAAATATGAAATCCCTGGAGACTTCATGTCCTTTATTTCTTTATTATTTCTACTAGCATTAGAAGTTCAAAACCAAAAACATAGCACATGTTATTTATTTCTCAATATACATCTTGTAGCTTCCTTCCTTCCCTCTTCCCACCTAAGGAGAACATTGTTGTTGTTGTTGTTTTATTGGGGGGAGGGGAGTGGTCTTTATTTATATCCTCAGCAACTATCATAGAGCCTTGCAAAGAGTAGGGACTTAATAAATGCTTGAATTGAATTGAATAAAGCTTAGTCCATTCAGCACTAAGATCTAGGTCAAGTTATAGGTCAAGCTATCTGTCCTTTAAATTAAAAGTTTCGAATATAGTGGCTTTTATTTAAAAACCAAACATGGTTCCCCTTGAGATCCAGATCTACTCTGGGCCCTGGCCCCAAGCCCAGCACTAGTGTTCTGGCTGAGCTGTCTTGCTGTGGGTGAGATCATTCCCCTCTCTGGGCTTCATGTTCCTTGACTTGTAAAATTATGGATTTGTACAAGGACTTTTCAAGCTCTTAGATCTTCCTCTGTCTTCAATTCCTATTTCTATCCATATTACTGTCTGACAGCTGTAGACAATTTGTTTTCTTTTTTAAAAAAAATTTTACTTTCCTCCAATTACATGTAAAAATAATTTTTAAGATTCATTGTTTTCTGTTTAAGCTTTGAGTTCCTAATTTTATCACTTCCCTCCCTCCCCTTTCTCCTCCTTGATATGGTAAGCAATCTGATTAGAGATTGATGAGAGAGAGAGAGAGAGAGAGAGAGAGAGAGAGAGAGAGAGAGAGAGAGATTGATGAGAGAGAGAGAGAGAGAGAGAACACTTTGGACAAGGGGAGTAGAAGTGCTTGGCTCCCAAGTAGTCACTGGGCTATTTCCCATCACTAGCCTCATTTGCCTTAGACGATGGTTCTGCTCTCTTTCAGCTCTAACTTATATGATTTTCTGACATTCCATTTGATGAAAGGTGCTCAGGACTAGGGGAAATTGCTAATTGTACGTTTCCTTTTATGCAGTTTTATCTCTATGAGGTCACATACATTTATGTCCTCACTAGTATGATCTGTACACACAAGATATATACAGAATACATGTAGGTCATCTGAGAGCAGAAGGATGCTTTGGGAGACCATGAAGGTCCTCTTATAGAAGGTGCTGCTTGGTCTGAAGTCTTAAAGGAATCCAGGGAAAGAAGAATCAGGGGGAGAAGGGAGGGGGAGCTAGAGAGTTCTAGTTATCAGGAACAGCCAGTCCAAAGGCAATGAAATGAGAAGAGATGGAGTGCTGTATACAAGGAACAGCCAGTGGGTCAGGGTTATAGGATCCTAGTGTGCATAGAGAGAAGTGAGCTTGTAAGAAGACTAGAAAATTGGAAAGGGGGCAGGTTATGAGAGAACTTTAAATAATTTTTGAATTCTTATGAATTCAAATGCTTTCCCAGAATACCCTAAACCTTCCCTTAAATGCACTTGAACAAGTACAATACCTGAAACCTAAATGTACTTTACATGTTTGTTCTTTAAACTTAGTTATGAAGAATGCCCAGCAGAAGAGTTTGTTTGATGCCATAGGTAATAGGGAGCCAGTGCAGCTTCATGAGCAGAGGAATGACACAGAGGACTAAGAGCCAGAAGGAAGTGTTCAAGAAAGATATTGTATGGGAGGTGGCATCTAAGTTGGACTTTTAAAAACTTTTATTTGAACCAGATAAGAAGAAAGAGAGTAAGGAGCAGGCAAGAGCGTCCAGGTTCTGGATCTTCCCAATGTTTTCTGATGGTGGCTTACATTTCTAGCATCTGTGTCTTACTCTAGCCTCTAAATATTTAGTTGGCAGGCCATTATTAAGCACATAGTATGTGCCAGGCATAGTGTCGGGCTTGGCGGGCCATCACTATAAACCAATGTGCTCATTCGATGGGGAGACATGATGGTGTAATGGAGAAGGCACAATCCTTGGAGCCAAGTACATCTAAGTTCTAATCTTGCCTTAGACATTAGATGTAGAACCTTAGGTAAGTTGCTTCAGAACCATCCCAGATTCCCTATGAGGGTTGAGCTCACTGGAAATTATGCTATGATCCTCTGTTCTTATCTTAGCTGCAGGGAGAGGAAGGTTAGCAAATTGTAGGAAGGCACCAAGGTGTTCCTGATTTAGCTTGGTGCCCTCAGTGGGCCTGTGCTCTGGGGCATGGGTCATGGAACTGATAATTGATTCATATATATGAATTCAAAGTCAGTGCATTTCGCACATTTGGCATTTGTGTGAATTTTCAGATGGCTAATTTACTTCCTCCCAAACTAATGCTCTCCATTTCTTTCTTTTCAGGGTCGTCATGTTAAAACTGGACAGCTTGCTGCTATTAAAGTCATGGATGTCACTGGGGTAACGTATCTGCCTCTTGTCCTTTTTTTTAAAAAAAGTCTATTCTCTGGTTCCCCAGAACTTGAGGATGAGGGATGAACTCACTTAGTGGCCTTCAAGTGTTTTCTGTTATAGAAGACTATGTTTCTTACCTACTTAAAGTGTTCCATCCTTTGGGTTTAATGTACATAATTCCCAGGTTGCAGTAGGAGATACAGCCGAAGTATCTAACCCATAGATACCTCGAGCCAATTAACTACCACAAGAGGTTATCACGAATGATGTGCACCAGTCATTTGCATTTAATGTAGTTATCAGTAATTGAATATGAAGAAAGAATTAGAAATTTCAAGCTATTAAAATATTAATATTAAAATCAAATAAGATACATATATACAGATACATATATGTATGTATATATGTATGTGTAGAAGATATACACACATGTATGCCTATGTGTATATGCATGTATACATGTATCTTCTGTTGACATACATACACCTATACATATGTATGTGGGTATATATATATATGCATGAGTGTGTGTACATGTGTGTATATACATATATGCATATACACATATACATGTATATACATACACACATGCACTCTGTTGGGGGGGTCACCTTGAACAGAGGTGGAATGAGGATGGAAAAAGTCTGGGAATGAATTATAGTGGCTATCTTGCATGAGGATCTTTGCAAGAGAAAGTCTTTGTTTTTGTTTGTTTGTTTTTTCAATATGACAACTAACCTCAAATATTTATAATAATTAAAGTCCACCACTCTTCTGTATACTTTCTTGCTTGGATGAACAAAGGCGAGCTGAAGAATAGAGTTCATTCTGTGTCATAAATGCGATTACAATGCTTACTCCCATTCCTTTTATTGACTTTATTTAAAATATTTTAATGCCTCTTCCAAGAGTACCAAGAACTCCTTAGAAGACCTCAGTGGAAATCAAAGGCATGCTAATATATTTTGTATTGTCTTGGGGACTGTTCAGAGACATCTTTCAGCGACACCCAGATAAACACATGAAAGTGAAGAGAGAAAAGATTTAAGTTGGGCCTCAAAACAGATTATCCAAAACAAATAGACTTTGAATGGTTCCCATAAAGGTATCAAGGATTATTCTGTGTGAAAATAGAGGCCAGACCACTGGACTCTAGGCAATTTCCAGCTGCTGCCAGTGGCTGTTTTGTAGAAAACACTGGGAACTAGGTGCCAAGATAGTGTCCATTATGGGCCATCCCTGACCTCCCCTTAATTACTGCTCCCCCATTTATTTGGACATATACGTTACATTTTTCCTTATTCCAGCGCCCCATGTTGGCCTGCTCCTCTTTCTTCCCAGTTCCCTATGAAAACATCAGAAGAGCCTGAGGGTGAAGTCCTTGGGAGCCATTTACTTTAGATTCATACAATTACAGAGCTGGAAGAAATCTCAGAGGTCATGTAATAGAACCTCATTACTTGATAGATGAAGAAATAGTTGCCCAGAAAAGAAAAGTGAGTTGGCCAAGGTCATTTTCTAGTAGGCAAAAAAGCCGTGTAATTCTAGTATGAAAATAATAATTGCAGTTCACCTTTAGATAACACTTTACACACATTATCTTACTTGAGCCTTAAAATAACCTACCTATCAGATAGGTGCTATTAGCATCCCCATTTAATAGATGAGGAAACTGAGCTCTAGACAAATTAAATGATGTGCATATGTTCATATACTTAATAAGTGTCTGAGGCAGGATTTGAACCCAGGGCTTCCCGACTCACTAGTTCAATACTAAATGATATGTTCACATCTATTCTCATAGGATAATAGGTTTACAGCTGGGAGGGGCCTTAAAGATCATCCAGTACAGCTTTCTCATTTGTCAAAGAAACCCAGCTCTAAGGCTTGTGCCTACTATATAGAGGCAGGCGTGTGCTGGACACAGTTCCAGCTGATTATTAAATCTTCAGGGTGAGAGTCTATGCCTCAAAAATTGGCAAACGCTAAGAAATAATGGCTTGATTGATTGTTTTGTTGATTTTCTAGACTCAAGAAAGTGATAGAGAAAATGTTAATAATTTTGTAGATTAAACTTAGAAGTGTGTTATGGGTACAGTTATGTTTTGTTTGTTTGGAAGGGGATGGAGAGCCAGTTGTTAAGCACCTACCACCTCAACAGTGCCTAGAGGCTATGTAATAAATGCTTATTGAATTGGAAAGCATGTAAATTAGAAAATAAGGAACATCAAAATCGGATGCGGCTCCTTTTTCAGTAGAAATCTGTTTGTAAAGGTGTTATCTGCAACAAAATTCTAGCCCTAGAGCTAATGTTTTAAATTAATTGGGAAATTATCCTGAAACATAGCTGTAGTGCTCTCCTTGAGTGAGGAGAGAACATAATAGAGGGAAAATATACATAATGTATATAATATTTTATATATATACATATATATACAGTCAAACACATACACACATTTTATACTCACTATCTCTTCTCATATGAATTCTAAGACCTGTGAGCCCTCAATGTACTTCTGTTCCATTGCCCCTATAGTTCCATTCCACAGGAGCTATTTGTTCTCGTGCCAGTCTGAGTTGGCCCTGAGATCAATCAGAATTCTGACCCCATTTTCTGCTGCCATTTAAGTACTTGCAGAGCTGTGGGGTTGTTGCTCCATCAGCTTTATGGAAATTTAGCAAAGAGCCTAATGGTCTGTCCCAAATTCAATATTTTTAGTTGATGATGGAGTTACAAATAGAACTTGGTCTTCCAGTTGTCCCATGATAGCCAGAGTCATGCATATAATGGGCCATTCCAAGAAAAGCCCATATAGAAGCCAGGAAGTCCTCCATCTTTGACCTGACATTATGGAAAATCCCAGCCTGATATCCTGGCTCATATCTCTTGCTTCACCCTTTTGGTGAGTGTAGCCAAAGTAAATTTGCAGTGGAAAACCCTACTAGGCCATCTAGCTGCCTACAATTAACCCATTCCACCTTTGAGTAGCTCTATTGCCTCGTGACTTCCATACATTGTTCACTGCCCTCTAGAGTCATGCCAAACAAATCAAATCCTTCTTGCATATTTTTTGATATTTGAACACAAGCATCTGTCCTTTTCCCTCCCTTTGTTCTCTTCTCTAGGGTAAGCACGGTCAGTCCCTTGGACTGATCCTTATAAGGGATGACCTTTAAGCACCGGATCATTCTCATCACTTTCTTCTGGACTCCAGCCTATCAATCCCTTCTTCACTTGCAGTACCCAGAGAACTATTCTCGGTGATGCAGGCGTGGGCTGCCTTGCAGAGTCCACCAGGGCTATCCCCAACTTCATTCTCGATGTTATGACTGTCTTCATGCAGCCTAAAACAGTGTTCATTTCGGGGACTGTCAGAACCTCCTCTAACAGTTGGAATTTTTGAAAAGATGACTTTTTTTTTTATCAAATACTCTATGACCTCTTTCGGGATATGAAACAATGATTGAAATCAATGGGACTATGAGTTCAAATAATTTCTTAAATATTATTTTCATCATAGGCTGCCTCTCCTTTAGAACAGTGCAGTCACACTGTGATCAGATTCTGTAATTCTTCCCTCTTGCAAATGAAAGGCTCCAAAGGGTTGACAGCCATCCTGCTGCTTCCAGTTCCCCCGGACTTTTCACTCGTACTCATCCTCTGGTCTCCAAGCTTTTTTTTTTTAGTTGTCAAAAATCCCTGGTTATAAATGTAGTCAAGAATTTGTGGTTCCTCTATGTGAGGCTCCTCTACCACTATTGATAGTGACTCTTTGATAGCTTAGCAAATGGTCTTCAGGGGTCATTTTGGCCAGAAAATTCATCATGTGCCTCTCTAAATGTGGGTGGGTTGATCCTTGGATACGTGTTCCATTTAGTTCACCAATTATTTAAGTGCCTACTATGTGCAAAGCATTGTGATGGGCACTGCAAGTACTAAGAAAAAAATAGTCCTGGCCCTTTAGAAGTTTACTGGAGAAATAGCTATATCAAGTCCCCAAATAAACCCCCTTCCTTGGATGACCACTTACTAGGCATGTTGTAGAGGAAATTCCTAGGGCAGTGAAGTGATGTAGTAGAAGAAACTCTGGGCCTAGAGTTGGGAAGACCTGAGTTAAAATTTGACATCAGACACTTAGGATCTGTGTAACCCTAGGCAAGTCACTTAACCCTGCTTGCCTCGGTTTCCTCATCTGTAAAATGAGCTGGAGAAAGAAATAGCAAACCACTCCAGTATCTTGGCCAAGAAAACCCAAGGTGGGGTCACGAGTTAGTAATGACTGAAAAACAACTGAACAACAAAACAAAAAAGGAATTCACCAATAAGAATAGGAAGTCACAGGGACTGAGGGATGGCCCAGGATAAGAAGGCTGCTGACATGTGGTGGCAAGGTCCAATGAGTCAGGTAGAATGAGGATACTTAGTACAGAAACTGCATCACTTTGTACTGTGGTACCTTCCTCCCTCACTTCATGATGATGCCACATGGGTTGCCATCATCTTGAAATATTGTGGGTTTCCAAAGGACAATGGAGAGACCTATGCTGAGACCAAGTTGATTGCTGCTTGCTACCGATAACATATCAGGTGCAAGGGGTATTGTAAGAGAATTCATTGAAGAGAAGTGTGACCTATAAAGAAGGTGGCCACTCGTGTCGTGGCACCTCTCCTCCAGCATTGTAGAGAGGATCACAAGAGATCGCACACAATCCTTAAAGCTCTCTACAAATGTCAGCTCTTAACTCTTAGAACAGATCTCAGACTGTAATGATGTTGGCTTGACATTTGGCCGCTGTCTGCAGTTCCACAAGGAGCCTCTCCAAAAGCAAACTGTGTCAGTCCCAGATTCCTGACCTTGGGATGTTTACATTGGGGGATTCCCATGGAAAAAGAAACCTCATCAAAATTCTTCCTCCATTAGCCCTGCCCGTTTCACCTTTGAACCTGAGTCACCCTTAGGACTTCAGAGCCTGACATTTGCTCTCCCTCCTTAGACTCTGAACTG